CATCCTTCATGTGTTAAACCAGGGGCGCACAAATATTTGAGCCTGGAGAGTCACATAGGGAGTTTTCATGAGATACTTGGGCCGCGTTAGCACACCTGCCCCCTGCAACAACTCACCAAATCTCCCTATGTTGTATGGGGCTCCAGGCAGGCAGGGAGCAGTGTTTGAGGCAATGGGCACAAGTTCTACAGGCAGGGGCGTGCCAGGAGTGGATCTCAGCTTTACCCTGGGCCCTGGCCCAGTGCTGTCACCAACCCAAGATCCCAGCCCAGGGGGCAGCTCCTTAACCAGCCATATGTCTCCCAGCCAGTTTCCATGTACAGCCCAGGATCTCAGGGAAAGAACAGCATGGGGCCCTGTGGGGTGATGAGTGTGGGGGGACAGGAACTGGCCCAAATAGTACAGTCCATGGCACTCCACATGGGGTTGAGCCTCAACTGCTCCCACCTAAGGCAGACGGTTCTGTGCTCCTGCTCACACCTGCCGGCTCGGCCCTGGCTAGAGTTCACAGCCTACCAGCAGGGTTGCTCCCTATGCGGCTGCAGCAACTTGGGTGCTGCTCAGCTCCCCTTGCCTCCAGCAGTAGCTCCTCCTCCTTCCCATGCCCCTGCTGCACTGCTCTGGGAGGGGAGGAAGCTTCAACCAGGTGGCTCCTGCCCCAGTGTGTGGGGCTCTGGCTTCAGCTCCTGGCTGCCTTCCACCCTTCAACTGGCTGCAAGAGGAGGAGCTGCCACTGGAGACGAGGGAGCTGAGCAGCACCAGGGCAGCTGCAACCACTTCAGAAGCAGCCCCTCCAGAAGCTGTGCATGGCTGGGACCTGGGCCAGCTGGCACAAGCAGGAGTTCAGCACTGACTGCCCCAGATGGGGCTCAGCTCCATACAAAATGCCATGGAGGCAACATGGACTAGATCCAATCAACTGGCCCATTCTCCCCCTTGGGCCAGATCCAATCAGTTGGCAGACTGAATTGAACCCATAGGCCATATTTTGCCCACCCCAGGGTTACACATTTAGGACTAGCTATCTTCTACTTTGCAGAGTGAACCGTCAGTGGCTCAGTGCCACACAAACTGATCTAACATTTGGTTGTAAAGTGAATTGTCCCAACTCAAATGAGACGTTTTGCCCAAACCAAGAAGTAGAAGAGCAGTATCGGAGCTGGCCCTTGCAAGCTGATTTCCGTGGCTTTTCAAGGTCATCATTTTGACCT